GCAGACAGTGAATTCCACATTAAGCTCAATGTCTTAGAAAAGTTCTGGTAAGCTATCTTTAAAAGTCAAGGACACGAGAGCCCCAAATATTCTTTGATGTATCATGCAGGGGAGCAGACAGACCTTGGCTCCGGTTCCTGCCCTGCAGAGCAGCTACTGACCTTGACACAAGATTTCTCCCTTTGAGCTGCAGTTTCCCCATCTATAAAATAGGGGATGAACCTGGCCTTGCTAAGTGGCTACATGTGGTGTGTCTGGTCTCCTCCCGAACTCAAACACGACGGAGGCTACCACTGCATATAATCAGGCATTTCATATTTCTACATAATTCACTGCTTCGTGTTTTTCAATTCTTCAGAAATTTGCCTTCATAGTGTGGAGAATGAGCCCCAAAATAACAGCCCTGCTCCCTGAATTAATTGGCTTATTGAAACTTTGGACTTCAACTTCAATTTCCAAACACCATTGTAACTCTTGATGTTAAAGGTTTGCAGGTAAAACTCTCAATTCTGAAGTCAGTTACTGTGTATGCTCTTCCTCTCTGAACTTCCTTATTTAAAACAAGAGCTGTGTTCCCTGCCACAGTGTGGGGCAGTGGAAAACACTGAGCAGGATGGCTAAAGGTACACAGGGTTCTGGATTTTGTGTGCAAATGAGCATAGTGGCATGGCTTGCACAGCTGCGAGTTGTTGCTGCTCCTGCTCCAATCTAAACTCCACAGCCCATGCTCTCACCTTTTCCTTCCTGGTGGAGATAGATGCCTTCTGACAACGCCAAAGGTGAGATCAACTGCAGAGGCTCAGACAAAGAGCTGATTCTGAGCAAGGCCGACTTATGGTGGGTCTGAACCTGCTGCCTTAACCCGCAGATTTCTCTGAAGGGTGACCTTAACCACAAGCTCCTTACACTCCCTGCTGTCTATCTCAGCCTGACCTTAAAGATGGGAGCCATTATTCTCATTCAATTGCTCAATTTTGAAGTGCTGACCGAATGATTTATAGTCTGTACTCAGTGGCTCTAAGGGAGGGAGACCCAGTGAGCCACTCCCCTTAACGAATATAGCTTAGAAAACCTTAGTTCTACTCTGTTGTAGGGGTTAGTACAAGTTGCAATAAACTTGACGGCACCCAATAAATAACGTCCTCTCACTACGTTCTGCTCACATCACTGTCAATGTCATAGACTAGAAGGGTCCTAGGTAGCAAGGAGGTTAGGCAAGTGCCTGAGCTGAAATTCTGGTTGCATCATGTGGTGGCTATGGAACCACAGGCAAGTAACACAGCTGCTTCAGTTTCCTCATCTAGAAAAAGGGACAGTGGTAACTCTCTGCCTTTCAGAATTACAAGGCCGCTTACGTGAAATCATACCTAAAAATGCACATGATTAACTTCATCAGCAGACCATATATTTCTTATTTTAATTCTTGATTTTGCCAATGGCTCTCTTCACAAAGGCCCACCTTCTGCTATGTCTCTTTCCTACCAATGAATTGTCTGAAGACAGGCAACCGGAAAGGGATGGAGAGAAGCAATCAGCCTGAGATACTCTGAAGTAATACAACCAGAGCATGAATAATTAAGAAGACTTCTCTTTTAAACATTTAGTTATATGAGATCAAATGGACAGCAGTAACCCTAAAGCATAGATGGTGAACTTAAGTTAATGGAGGTGAAATAATTTGGGATGACACAGCAAGAATGACAACACAGTTTGAACAAGGTAACCAATGTCATGGAACTGTAGAAATTCTTGAACGAGTATATGTTTTGCTGTGTCTATTTTTACACACACATATACATATACACAAACTGTTATTCTAGTCTTTAAGATGTTGCATCAATCCTAAAGGAGTGCCTGAGAGACCTTTAAGATAGAAAGACCATAACAACAAATGTATGCTAGACAAAATTTACCCACAGAAGTGATTTTATTCTCCTGCACTGTTGTACTCTTTCATTTCAACATGACCTGAAGCATTGTTTCAAGAAAGTCAAAGTTATAGCTTCATGGAAGAAAAAAGCATAACTGAGGGAATCTTCTTCTTTGCAACAAACAAGCACTAATTTCTTAGAGGAAACACTATTAATAATCATCACACACTCAACATAATCCACACTGGCTCCTACACACCGGCCTTGTGCCAAACAGTCAGTACCTATCACTCATTCCTACAGAGGCCGAGTTAGGGGGGGTTGCCAAACTCATTTGGCAGATTTGGAAACTGAGGATTAAAAAGGTTAAATCACAGCCCTAACCTTCTGCAATGAGTCAGTGGCTGGACTTAAAACCTGCTCTTTTAATCCTTACTTGGTTTACAGCTCATGAATTTCTGTAAACTCTTTACCCCAGTGGGCAATGACAAGAAGCTAAACTTGGAGTGTGAGACCAGCTAAAACACTCTTGTATTTGGCTGCAGGGGACCCTTCACTATTGAAAAACCATGAATGATGGAGACTTTATTTCAGAAGCCAAATATTTAGCCTACATTGACAATCCTGGCCCCAACCTATCTTTCTAGTTTCATCTCCTACACATGAGCCGGTGGGGCTTACTGGAATGACATATGCCTTTTAACTAATGCCATACGTCTCTCCCCTCCACCACTGGTAAGAGTGTCAAGAATCCCAACTTCTCACTTGGGACCATCTGGAAATGCTACCATTCTGGAAAGCTTTTCCTAATCTCCACCCTTACCCTACTCAGACCACATGCTCAGAGGTCCACTCTCATTAATAGTCAGGTGGTCCTAGAGGTTTAAGGAGGACCATTCCTAAGTGTGTCAAGTACAATTTGAAGTTATGCCTTATTTAGTCATATTTCAGTACAAGAGCAAGCCCCTGGCACAGTGTTTAATGAATCAGGGAGCTAATCTAAAGGTGAGCAGTTTGAATCTCCTAGCTGCTTGGCGGCAGTCTTCTCCCACAAAGATTTATAGCCTAGGAAACCCGACTGAGGATCACTGAGTTGGAACCTACTTGGTTTTGGTTTCTGGTGCACAAAGCCGTGTTGCACAATGGGTATAACACTTGGTTGCAAACTAAAGGGTCAGTGGTTCAAATCCACTGACCTCTACTGAAGATAGCTGTGGCAGTTGCTTCCACAGAGATTTACAGTCTTGAAGACCTATGAAGCAGGCCTCCTCTGTCTTACAGGGCTGCCAGGAATCAGAAGGAACTTGACAGCAATAGATTTGGTTTTGGCTGTTTTAGAACATGGAAAGGGCTCAAGACCTTTTCACAATCAAGTGAAGGTGACTGTGATGCAAAATTGCAGTTATAATAATTTCAAACTGAGGGCAAATTTACATACATTAAAGGGCAAGGAGGAGCTGTTCAGAAGTGAGAAGTCCCTCGTCCAGGGACTTGATTGTAATGGACTTCCTGCCCTGCAATTCTCAGAGCACTGAGTCCCTTGCCCATTAGGTTCATTTATAGCTTCCAGGAAGAAAAAAAAATGTGGCAAAAGAAATGTCAGACTATACGGAGTATCTTATTTTCATCACTCCCCAACTTCTCATTCACCTTGCATATTCTGCATTTCACATAGATATTTTAACATGATAATGTATAAGACTTTCTATGTAACTGGCCAGTGCAAACACAAAGCTGCATTAGTCGTCCAAAAGCTGAGAGATTTCTTTCTATGTCAGGTTGCATTTGAAAAATACTTTGGCTAAGAATTTATCACTAGAAAATTTGAAGACAGAAATTATTTAAAAGCTTAGGGCATCATCATTATCATTTTGTGAATGAAGAGAAGATGCTTTATTTCTGATAGGACTGCACTGGAGAATGCAGCTTTCATAGGCATCAGATCTGTGCCTCCCAAGTTCACACCTTTGGAAAGATGCCCATCAGGTGACTGACATGCTGGCACTTCCTCACTCAGATTCCCTAACTTGTGTGCACCCCAAACTTTGTGCTCTGACCTACTTGTACTTGCCACACCGAGACAGGGTAGGTAAGCATGATTTCATCAGGGAGACAAGCAAATCCAAAAGCAGAGAGAAAATGCCTAAATACCCCATCAACAATCTCTTCTCAAAGTAAGTCTCTCATTTAAAACTAAACTAGTTTATGTGAACCTCTAGGCAAAAAACAAAAAAACCAAAGGACCCCTCCCCCAAAAAACAACCAAAAAAACAACCAGACAATACAAACAAAAGAAATTTAAAAAACAAAAACAAAAAAACATCAACCAACCAACCAAAACCAGGCAAACAAAAACTTCCAGGGGGAACATATTTAAATACCATTTTCTAATAACACAGAGGAAGGACCTTTGCTGGAGCACCATTAGTCGCTCAAATACAAACCAGAAGATTGATGGGAAATGACAAGGGGATCTTCAAGCACACAACCTAGAAAACCCCATGGGACAGTTCTACTCTGTCATACAGAGCTGCTGTGCATCCAACTCAACAGATCTAACAAGGGAGGGAGTTCCTGGGCATCACTGTCAGACACTCAGCTCAAACGGAAGTTTGGCAGTTCAAGCTCACCCAGAGGTGTCTCAGAAGAAAGACCTGGTCATCTGCTTCTGAATGAGCACAGCCTCAAAAACCCTAAAGAATGCAGTTCTACCCTTGAGACTTGAGGATTCACCATGAGTTGGAATTGACACTCTGGCAAATGATTTGGAGTTATTGTAAGGGCTAGAATTTCTACCCAATATTATCAAACTTTGTTTTTATCTATAAATTTATAAAAATCCTAGGTTACCTTCGAGAAGATGAGCTTTAGGCCACTAAGCCATCAGAGCTACCAACGCAAAGGCAAGTGGTTCAAATCCACCAGCTGCTTCACAGGAGAAAGACAGGCAGTCATCTCCTGTGGGACGTAAAGCTTCTGAAAACCTGCTGGAGGGTCTGCTATGAAATGGTTCTGACTCAGGGGTGCATAACTACCCCCACCTTAGAGAAGATGGACATAATAATCTATTAGGTCTGGAATTAGTCACTATATCAAGAGAGGGAGAATCATATTTAGATCATTTCTTACCTTGATCCAATGACATCAAAAAGATGTTGCCAACGATCATTAATTTTGTTCAGCTTGTCATCAATCTCTGTTGCTCTTGTTTTGTTGCTTGCCTTGATCAACTGGTCACCCATCTGCTTTAACTGGATCTTGTTTTCACTAAATATGTTTATTTCTTCCATGCAATCCTGGCAGAGGTACCAAAACACAAAGCCCGAGTTACTTCCTAATGGGTGTGTGTGTGTGTGTGTGTGTGTGTGTGTGTGTGTGTGTCTAACCACAAGTATAAGGAGCTTTGGTGGCTTAGTGGCAAGAAGCTGCACTGCAATCCTGAAGGTATGCAGTTTGAAGTCCCCAGCAACTCCATGGAAGAATAGGTGACCTACTCCCGTGGGATTAACTGCCTCTGAAAATCCTCCCCAGGGTCAGCTATGAGTCTATGGTACACAACAACAAGCATATCGCTGCCTGGCAAAATCTTTAAAAATGGTTTAAAATTACATTTCTGTTAATGTAAACAGCTACATGGCCAAACAATGTGCAAAACATCATGTAGAAAGCACTTTCTTAATCCAGGAGCTCTTCCTGTCACAGATTCTCCTTAGCTAACCAACTGGGAAAATGAAGACATCAACGCAAGCACGGAGACTAACTAAATTTGTTATTATCAGTAAGAGCTTTTCTGAGGTCTGATCAACGGGAATTTTGAACCTTTGTAGCAAGAATGTTCTTTGCACTGTTTTCTGTGGGGACTGGTGATTACTTCAAAATTATGGGCCTGTTGTTGGCATCTCCCCTTTGGCAACGGGTGTGCCTTAACAATGAAACCAGAGATATCTGTAACTTGCTTGAGGCATCAAGTGATAATCAAGGAGGTGAACCCCAGTTTCAAGACAGTTTTCTCAACCAAGAGAAAGCAAGCAGCTCTCCAGGTACGAGCTCTACACCACGCTCGCCCACATCAGCCCTTGCTTCCTGTTGTTCTTGTTGTGAGGTGCCGTCAAGCCAACGATGACTCACAGCAACCCTATGAACAACACATGTGAATCTAGCCCTATCGCCACAATCACTATGATGCTCAAGCCCACTGCTGTAGTTACAGCATCATTTCATCTCCTTGAGGGTTTTCTTCTCTTCATCGATCCTTTATCTTTCCCAGTCTGATGACTATAAGGCTTGCTTGGTTCCTTCTGAAAACAAGCCTCAAGTCAGTGAGATGAAGTTTCACCATCCCCGCCTCTAAGGAGCATGTCGGTTACACTTCCTCCAAGACAGATTTGCTTGTTCTTTTGGCAGTCCGTGGAATATTCAATACTCTTCACCATCACCACAATTCAAAGATAATGATTCTTTTCTGGTCTTTATTTATTGTCCAACTTTCAACTGCATGGGAAGCAACTGAAAATACCAAGCCACGGATTAGGCACATCAGAGTCTTTAAAATGGCATCCTTGCTTGTTGTAACTATTTATCTGTCCTTGACAGCAGATTTCGTCAATGCTATACATCTTCTGATTTCTTGACTGCTGAAACCATGAGTGTTGATTCTAGATCCAAGCAAAACAAAACTGTTGACAAATTCAATTTGTTTTCCCTCCATCGAACATGGACCTACTGGTCCAGTGGTGGGGACTTCTGTGTTCTTCCTGGCCCTCTGGAATTTTCACCATAAACCTAGTGAGGAAGCTCCTTAAATTTTAAAAACACAGTGGCAAGAAGCTGTGCTGCAGTCCCAAAGGCACCCAAAGTTCGAGGCCACCAGCTGCTTCATGGAAGAAGGATAGGGAATCCTCCTGTGTGATTAACTTCCTCTGAAAACCTGCTGGAGGGTCAGCTATGGGTCGGTTCTGACCTGACAGTACACAACAACAACCACAACCACAAATACATCTGACTATTATATTGCTTTGAGGCTCTGACTGAGGAAGTCCACGATTCCCCAGTGGTTACAACAGTATCCACCCAAATACCCCTGCTTACCTTCTGTAACTTCTCAATCATTTCTTCAATACTGATATCGGCTGTCTGCAGAACTTTGTTTTCCATCTGTACCAGCCATGCACACAGATCTTTATTCTTTTCATTGAACACTATCCATGAATTGAGTCTGTCCTCAATCTCTTGTTTGCGTACGGCCACCTGTGATGGGGAGCACATCTGACAGCTGAGTATTGCCAGGAAGACATGTCCCCTCCCTCCTTCATCTGCCATCAAAAGGAATATGCATTTCATTCCTTTTAACCACCATTTCTACAGAAGTAAACTTTTATGTTCTAGCCTTTTAAATCCCTAGGGATTAGCATAGGCAGAAATTCCTTACATTTTTGAGAAATGGTAAGAAAAAACAACGCAATAAAGACTGTACCTGAAGTGTGTCTGGCTGAGAAGATGAAATTTTATCTAACACGCTTCTCAAGACCTGGCAGTATTTTCTTCTGCTATACCTAAGAGTCTGAGTCATATATGAGTCAACAGACAGCTAATGTGCTCCACTAAAATTGAGAATGAGGAAAGGCTGGAAAAATTCCTCTTTACCATCCTAATTCTTTCACTCTTTGTTCTTTCCCACACATTGATTGATTGATGACTTATACAGACATGTTAATTTACAACTATTGGACCCAAATCCTTGGAAACAATACTCCAAATCAAACATTTGGAATGTAAACAGATCAGGAGAATGTAATTGGCTTAAGTGTTGTGCTTCTAAAACAAAGCAAAATAGAACCAAAACAATGCACACCACTCATTTAATCTGCCCTTTCAGGTTATGTGCTATAGCTCTGGATGGAAGCCCAGAAAGGGCCAAACACTGGTGTGGAGGGAAAGGAGGCTCCTCAGAGTCTCTAAAGCCCCACCTTTACTGACATCAACAAAAAGTTCTTTTTCTTGGGGGGGGGGGAGGGTGGAACACACATCAGGATCCTTTCTAAATGTAGAAAGTACTCCTGGGTCTTAAAGCATTAGAGTGTTAATGTCAACAAGAATAGCTGAGTTCCTTTGGTAAAGTTTAATACCTCATTTTACAGATGGGGATACCCAGGAGAAACTTCTTGAATCCTTAACAAAAATCTCTGCTCCTTGAGGATGGGGCGGGGAGGGCTAAGTATAGGGTCGCACAATTTGATGGGTGGAAAGAGGGGTGGGTAAAGGAAAGGGGGAAGATCCGGTGTGAAAAATAATGTAAACGAACTTTGTTAAGTAAACCAATATAAAAATTTTATATATAGGCTGCCCGAAGGTGGGCCTCTCTGGTGGTTTGGTCCCACAAGCTGATCCATGAGAGAAAGATGAGCAGTCTACTCTTATGTGATTTACAACCTCTGGAAAGTTGTGAATTGCTTCTGACTTGAAGACAATGAGGTTTATTTATGTGCAAATAAAGTTTTTGATAAGTAAAATAAAATTATATATAAAAAAGTCTTTGCTCTTTTCCTGCTGAAAACAAACACGCCTACAGAGTGTACATTCTGCCCCAGTCCCCCACAGCTAAATGTATTTAAACACCAAGGCTTTAAAAGCTAGACCTACAAAACATGTTCTGGGTTTCCATTCTTCACGGCAGCCTTTTAAAAACCCTGGCTCAATCTAATTGGTTTCATAACAGCAACAATTAGGAACATCTGGGTCCCAGACTTTGAATCTACCTTAATGTTTAGGATACTTTGCACATCTTCTAAACATTTCTTTTTCCAGGAAATCTGAATAAAAATTCTAACAGATCATTTACAATTAGGGTACATTGTGCATATTAAATACCGAAATCAAGAAGGTGAAAATGTCTTGTTTTCACTTTAATAAAGGTATTCAAAAGTGTCTGCAGATCAACTTTTAAATACCATCTCTGCTAAATCCACAAAAATGAGATGAAGGGCTTTATTTTTCTTAAAATAACATATTCTTAAAGATCTTAAAGATGATTTGCACTCTTTAAGGCTACTAGAGCTCTTTGAGTGACCTCCCCCAAATCTTGTCACAAAGGTAAACTCTACCCCAAGCTCCATTCTTAGTAAGCAGAGGTGATGGGCTGAAAAAGGAGGGGTAGCGCTTCAGTTTCTCTTTTAGAGAGCTTTCCAAAACAGGCTGCTTGGATATAAACATCAGGGTGCATGTGCAAACAGAGCTCTCTGTAAGTTCAGTAAAACCTACACTGTTGGGCTCAGAAGAGGCTGCAAGAGAGGCCAAAAGCACCTTCTGCCAACTCTGATACGGATATGTCCGTCTACTTGTCATCAGCATATAGCAGCAGAGAGACAAGTCCACATATCTGCTTATAACTGCAGCTGTTTTCCCCAACTCAAGATATATTTTTAAAAGCAAAGCTCCCTAAAAAGCGTGCAAAGTTCCAGCATTCTGTGCTGGAGAAACAAAGGGTCAAATCTGTAAAACCATGTTGCTGCCTTTTAAAGGACCAGCAGCCAGCAAGGCTCCAGCTGAAAAGGGCCTCCCTGATTCAAGGAAACGAAGCTCCTTTCTACTTTGTCTAGCCTTCGAGACATTTCAATAAACTCCCAACAGCTGTGCCCTGCAGCTGACTGACTTACTCTGAAGCAGAGGTCCTCCCATTGTCTGTGCAAATGCTCTATTTGCTCCTTCAAAACCATCACGTCTTCCACAAGAATGTGCTGGGTCAAGTCAGCCTTCATCGTGCGAAGTTCTTTCAAGTTCTGAGTCCAGCTAGCCAAAGACTTCTCCAGTTCCTGCATTTAAACACAAGGAGGAGGGGAGAAGGCTTCAAACTCAAGCTGCAGTTGTTTCCAAACCTGTTGGCTAATCCTTTGATTGAGTTCTGGGGGAGGGGAAGCCGGGGAAAGAGGGAGGGGCTTCTTAACAAGAAACAGCCCACTGAGAGCGCCTGTAGTTGTGGTTGGCCAGTTCTCAGCTACCTTTTCCACGGAGGGCAAATCTTTCCTACCTTTAGTTTTCACTTCCTCAGATAGTTCAGATTTTTACATAATGAATCCTATTTTCCAGTCATACAGCCCTTTAGCTTTATTTA